TAGCAAACTTTCTTTGTGTCGTTCCAAGATAATTCTATCTGTTGGCATCCGGTGCTGCCATAAGAGCTGTCTTTTCTTTCGTTCTGCCACCACCATCCAGCTCTGCTCCCTGGCCTGCTATCTCCCTGGGTCCAGCAGCACTGGAGCTGGAGGTCTGATGCTGGGCAGGTGCATGAGGGGCTGCCGGCCCCAACTTGTCTGGTTCCCGTGAATGCCTCTCTGCTCTTCCCCAGATTCTCACCTTCCTTTGTGGAGCCCCTGGGAGGGCTCTGGCAGCATCAGGCAGGCATAGAAGGAAAGGAGCTCTGCAGATCTCGTAGGGGCTGGCTCTGCTGCGTTTCTCATTTAGTACGGCCACCTCTCTATCTGGGATCAGCAGCACAAGGCAGAGCAGCCAAATTAGATGTATTTCAGCTGAAGAAATGCAGTTGCTCTCAGTGTGGTTTTACATGCTGGGGTTCTTCTGCTTACTCTTTTTCCTTGTACCACCAGACTACGCTGAAACCTGGCGCTGTTAGAGGATGTCTTTTGGCTTTTCTTTGGAAAGCTCAAATCAAGGCTGCTTCTACTTTGCTGTGGGTGGTGGTAACCTGTGCATAGGCTCTGCTGGAGTATGGTCCCAGGGCAGCTGCTTCCCCTCTGCCCTCCTCAGTGTGCTGCAGAAAGGAGGAGGGGACATGGGTTTGCTGCTCCTCCTGCTGTTCGCTGAAGTTCTGCTAGCCAAGATGCTCACTTTCCCCTCAGGAATAACACTTTGACCAATTCTGGGTATAACGTAGTGGTTCTGATTATCCTGAGAGTGTCTCCACATTGTAATGGTCTCAATTGACTGCAGCCTGCTCTAGAAAGAACAGTAAATAATACACAATAACTGTATTCATTTATATAGCACTATTTTCAAAATGCAGTGAATAATACAATAAAATGAATATGCAGAGGATCTTTCCCAATGGCATCTTTAGAAAACTTTGACATTAGAGCAGAAACAGAAGTGATTGCTGAAGTTCAGTGAGGTGTGGGGGCTGCTGAATGCTGACCGAAGGGCTGTGTATGTGGAAATGTAGTCTTAAGTGTTCATTGTGCTTTCTTCCTGCCTTAACATCTTGGAATCTATTTATTAAAAATAAAAGCGGTGAAGAGGAGAATAGTTATTAAGCAGTTGCCAGGGAATGTCCTTTTAAGTAATAAGAACTGCTTTCTAATATCAGGAGAAGGGAGAGGAATTGAATTCCAGAGGTTTGAGGGAGTTCAGATTTGCTTTCACAGTAAAGGTAAGACTGGCTCTGCCCTGTGAGAAGGTGGAGGAATGCCTCTAGAGAGGTGATGTCACCTGACAAGGCAGGATGTGAATTGGAAGCTGGAGGATAACTCATGTGATATGAGGAAGAAAGAAAACAAGCCAAAAAAAAAAAAAAAAAAAAAAAAAAAAACAACAAAACAAAACCAAAAAAGGCAGGGCTAACCTGCACCTTATTCCTTCATTCCAATACGTCCCTTCAGAAGCACACATCTTCTGGCTTCCCAGGATCTGTGCACACAGCTTGTTTGAAAGATTAGGGCCCCGCAGTCAATAGATGCCAAACAGTCTGGTAGCAAGTGTGTTACAGCTGGCATTGCTTATTTTCTCAGTGTGCATTGTAACATGCACTGTTGTTTAAAGTCCAACTTAAGGTTTCTCAGCTCAAGCAGCAATTTGCGTTTAGTGACATGGGTGAGTGTAAAACCAGGACAAATCATTCTTTTTGTAAATTATGCTGTTTTGTCTGATGTGTTTCCTTTTAATAAAACGTGTCACCATTAGTGCAGAATTATAGGAAATGACAGTGGCCAAGTTATTCTCAGTAAAAGTTTGACTGTGAAAAAGATGCCTCCTCTTAAGTGAGCTCTATGATGATTTCTTCCAAATGGAGAAAGCATACTTTACAGTAACCCATATGAAAAAGGATATTCTCAATCCTGTACTGATAATTAGAAGGTACTGAGAGAGGGTTATGATTCTGTAAAACTTGTTAAGGAGCTCTGTGCTTTGTTTGTAGTGGAAAGCAACAGAGAGGAAGATGAGCATACATTAGCACACGTTCAGTTCTCCCAGGGCCATGGAAGTCCAGGTTTCATGGATTAAAGGAGTTTGTTTTCCTAGGAATTTCCTGATGCAATCAGTATGTATTTGAACTTTCAGAAACTAGCAGGTGCTTTTCCTGAGTGATGTTGTGGTTCTTTTATTTAGTAAGAGACTTACACTCCTGTTCTATGAATGACAGAACATACGCTTAATGAGTATGGTCTAGCTCTGCTTATAACAATATGGAATTTATAATTCTTTTACAAATACTTTTAGAAACGTTACTAAACTTATCAGAATATATGTGGACACTCATGGACAAAGTCTTTTCTTCTGACATGGCCTCCAGGCTAGATCGATTTCTTCTTTGATCAAGATCTGCAGACCTGCTGCATGCTTGTGGAGTCAGAGGAACGACTGATTTCAGATTTTATCTTGCAAAAAGCTGAACTATTGGGAAAAATCTTTGTGTTGTCTTTGTCAGCATCAAAGAAATAATAAGTATTCCTGAAAGAAATTCCCTTCATTATGTTTAAAAAAGCAAAAACCAAAACAAGATAAAATGTCATCAGGACTAATCTCTGGGAATTGGGAAGGCCCAGTGATGGGAGGTCAGAGCAGAAAGCAGAGCTCACCTAACAAGAGATTAAATGATGTCCTCGCGTTGCTCTAATAAGCGATTTGCATTAATCATTTTCTGGTAGACTCAATGGTGTGTGTCCGTGGAGGGGATTTTCTTTCCCAAACATTGATTGCCATCATACACAGAATTACTTTCAATATATTTCTGATCATTTCTAACACAAACACAAAGGTTTGTAAAAGGGAATGTTGTATGGCCAAACTAGAATATAAACGTCAGTTATGTCGAAGTGTTTCCATACCAGCTCTATCTTTATTATAGACACGGTAATAGAAACTAGCGACCATGATAATTAGCAATCAATTTCAGCATTATGCAAATCTGCAAAGGAAAAGAAACTACTCCCAACATGTGGACCCTTTGCTTGAGAAATGAACTTTTGTTTTGCTTCTTTGTGTAGCCTTGTCCTTTTGGACCCATTCAAGAAATTCTGTTTGGGAATTCATACCAACTGTGATGCGAGTATGAAAACCAGTGGTACAGGAAGAAATACTGAGCAGAGAAATATTGATAGAGATGGGACAAGTTCTAATTTTGCTACCCTAGCATTTGTATTTGAAATTAATGAGCCTCATCTAATATATATATTCATATAAATAAAAATCATATTGTCATGCAGACAGACAGGAGCATTGTGCTGGCAGTTTAGCTGTTTCAGATGCATCCCATACATTATGGCAAGCATTCTGAAGGGATGCAGCTCCAGGCAGTAGTTGTTTCCTTCATCCCATGCAGATTGCTCTCACTTCAAAACTGAGAAAGACTGGAACACTGGGAGTTCGTGTGGCAGTAGGAGCTGAGCAAACCAGCTCTGTGTAAAGGGCCAGGCATGGTGGGGATGGCCTTCTGAAGGCTTCAGAGCAGCTTCAGTCTGCAGAGTTGCTAAGAGGTTGTGTATGCACTGTGTCCTGTAGTATGGTGTATACAGCATCCTGCCTGTATTTTCTCAAAGAAATTATTATGATTTGATTATCTTAAAAGAGGTTTGTCCCACACGTGGAGAATGTGTTATTTTGTGTAGATTCACTAAGTAAACTACACAGTTGAAGAAGCAGTTGAGTTATGTAAGGATATTGCTTCTGAGTCCAAAGCAGTACTTCTCAATATATGTTTAAAAATATTTCCAATCCAAACTGTGTAGGAGGTGCTCACAAGGGACAAATAACTTAATATTGACATAGCCTTAAATATATTGAAAAGACATAAATCAGAATAATGAGATTCATAAATCTGTTAATATTAATGGGAAAACCTTTTGGGAAATGTAGTGTAAAATCAAAGAAAAAAAATGAACTTGAGATGTAAGCAATGACTCTAGTTAAATGAATAAAAAATTTGGTATCTTGTTCCAGTGCTTTCTCGAGTTGGAAGAAATCTTTGCATCCATTGGAAACTGCTTATGACTTTAATGCTGTCATAAAGAACATATCAGGGAAAAAAAAGAATCACAGGTATCTCTAGAAGCCTGCTAATAAAAGGAAACCCTAGAACTATGTTTTGTTTTTTTGTAGTGATTTTTTTTGCGTTGTGGAATGAGGAAAGCACCATAAAGCCTTTATTTCAAAAATTCTCCGCTATCAATAGATTGACTCCACACTGAATTTCAAGGCTATAAAGCTTTATTAGCAAGAAGAATATGTATATTGTTATTCATTTGTTCACACTGCAATGGTTAAGAGACTGTCAGCACTTCCTTTAAAAACCCCTATAATTTAACAGGAAATTCTAATGCATAAAAATCTATTCTAGGCTGCATTTGATCCTTAACCGTGTTTTCATAATTAACTATTTGGATGTTTTATCTTGAAAATAAGTGACTTGTTGTGACCTTAGAGGTGCATGCCATCTTGTATGTGCTGCAAAGTATTCCTAATATCAGCAACTGCAAAAACAGCACTCATCTTTCTCCTACTTGGCTGACCTCTCTTGCCCATCCGCCACTGCCGCAAGGAAGTCCCTAACTTCTGTCCTCCTTTCATTTCCACTTACCACATCATCTTTGATTTTATTTACCTTGCACGCTGCTGCAAACCTTTACCACACAACACAGAGCAATGTCTCCTGACTAAAACCACTCCTTTTGGCATTGAAAATCTTCCTTGGAGATCTGGGGGAGTGTGGGGCATATCCTATGGGCAGAGCTTCTCTATAGGCAGGACTCACTGCAGCTTCCAATTACCTCAAATAATCCAGGCTTCTAGAATCACTGTGATGTTTGTTCAAGATCTAGTTCTGGCTGAGGGTGATGCACGAAGTGATGCTGATGTGGCCCAACCTGCTTTCTCTTTTGAACAGATACTGCTGTTAAATCTCATCTTAAACCCTACATGAAACCCAATAACTACTGTCATGTGAAGAGACATCTGCATGTTTGCGTGGGCTTCGCAGTCTCTTACTCAGGTAATTGATGCAAATAATCATTCCCTCTGCAAAATGCTGAGTTCTGTCATACAACTAATAGGTTCTTTTTGATGTAGCAAGAAATATTTTACCACTGGTGATTTAAATAAATGCTTATTGTGCATGTGTCTATAGGCAAGATATTTCCTGACAGTGCTTGGGATAGACCTTATTACCAATGATGATTACAGATGTTGTATCTAACAAGCTTTCACATTTCAAATGCATTTGTTCAGAGCAGGGACCGTGCCTCTAAGATATTAGATAAACCCCTCTTGTGTACTCATAACTGATAAACTGCTCTTTTCAGTTTTAAAAATAAGTTAGTAGAGAAGCTCTTATGTTAGAATATTCGGTAAGTTTCTCAAAAATCTGTTTAAGATTTATAGAAAATGTTTGTTTTTTCTGAGCAATTATAAGGTAAAAAATATTTGTCAAAATGCTCAGACTGTCTGTTTCTTAGTTGAGCTGTCTGAATGTGTTAATTTGAAAGACCCTATAATAGTGCTTGTCCCATTTCTTTAAAGCTTCCTCAAAGATGGTTCCTATTCACGTGTGACGACTACTGTACATCAACAGTATTTTCAAATCTCAGATCAATATCCTGGATGTTTTCTGGGAAATTAATTAGTCTCACTGAGGGGTTACTTTCCTAGTACGGAAAAAAAACCCTTTGCTCTATTTGATATTGACTACATAGTCAACTGGATAGACACAATATTTACCCTCCTAAGAGGTCAATTTAAGCACTCCAGGCAATACAGTAAGAATGCACTTTTTTGCTGTTTCATTTGTAAGCATTGACCACCCACAGTCTTTGGTTAAGTTAAATTATATTCCAGGCTATTGCTCTGCTACCTGATTTTACTCAGATCTACCCTTGATTCTAGATTAGTCATTTTCTCATTAGGGATGATCCCTTTTCTAGCAACAATATATCTAAAAATGTCTATTGCTGGAAGCAGACATTTTAAAAAGGGGAAGTTCTGTGATCCAGTAAGGTTGTAAAAATATTAAAATCTTACAATATGTGTTATGAAAACATTTCACAATGATAATTTCATACAGAACACAGATACTAGCACATCATGAACATTTTTTTCATATCCTTAATTACAAATCCTTAGGATTTTGCAGCATAGGAATGAAGTAATATTTGTTGGGAGTCAAAAGCTGTAGTTCACATTTAGACAAGAAGCATTTCTGCAGGAACCTGCCTGCTAACTTCTAAAGTTTTGTCCTTTAAGACCGCAGAAAAAGTACATTTGTAGGATGTTTATGCCTTGTTGGAGTAGGAGAGAATTAACTCAGAAATTGAATGCCTGACTGCCGCATCTGATGACTTGAAAACCACATTTGATGAATGCTTTATTCTCTGAAAGCATTTCCTAACTCTGTATGTAAAACTGTGTGTTTTAGTAAATCCTCTGTGAAGGGTTTCTCAGATGATTTTGTTGCACGTAGCATAAAGTTAAAAACTCAGAAATTGTTCTGCAGTCATCTTCTGGCCTGTCTATTAAAAGTGGGAAGCCCTGTTGGGTTTTTCTTCCTATGACAGCTTGTCCATAACTCTTTAATAGTTTTTCCACAGCTGAGAAATGTCGTTGGTTTTGTTTATTACTGAGAGCTACAATTCTGTGTTCTCTTCTTGGTACGCCCAACATGAATCATACTTTATAAACATCCTGTTGATATTGATGGAATAACTGTCAACTTAATAAGACTTTGATGTTTTCCTGCAACTCGTGTGCACTAAGGGACAATGTTGATAGTCTTCAAAGTGCTAATGTTTAAAAAAAAAAAAACAACAAAAAACATAAAAACAACCAAACCTTCTCCATGAGTATAGGATATAGACTGAAACATTACTTCGTGCAGTGCTTCTGAGGTGTTCTAAAAACATAAAATAAAATCCTGACATATTTTCAAGTTCCAGAAGAAACTTCAAAATATACGGCATAAAATTTTAGTGTAGAGCTGATCTAAGGGCTGCAACAACTGGTTTGAGCTGATATTGTGTGGTAGTTGAGAATTTCTTCTAAGAGCTATGGCTGAGCTATTCTGACATGATATTTCTTCTTTTTGTTGGTCTATGTGATTTTCTTATGGACACAACTGACATCAGTTATGGATGTAATCATGGACATGTTATTTAGCAAGTCAGACTGTTATTTAGTACAAGTCAATTTCTTGTTTGTAAGGACCAAAAGCATTGCTTCATATAAAAATAGAGTTTTAGCATGATACAGTTTATAACGCAAGTACTTTGAAAACAAACCATTCCCAGATCAGTCACAGAAAACCATTTTTATGAGTGGGTTTTTGTAAGCCAGACACTCCTTTAAAGATGACCCTGTGGAGTACAATAGATGGGACAAACAGTGAGAGACAAGTTTCAGATTGCTTTTGAATAACATCTAAAGCTTCATGGTGGCCCCTTTGATGTGACCCCAAGGGGACTGACCACCTGTGTTGCTTTGTGTGCTGATGATTTGTTAATCAGGAAAACAAGAAATGCAATATGGCCTCAAGTAAATCTTTCAGTAATCTTAGATGAGATTCAGATTTTTTTAATGATCTTTGTTCTTTTCTTTAAACAAAGCAAATAATTTCTTAAAGATTAACTGCTTAATTCTATGTTCTTGCATGCAGTCTTCTAAGAAAATTTTTCATGTTTTACTTTTTTCTATATGCTACCAATATTAGAATGCATAAATCTTAGATTTTTAAAAGGGACAGTCATTACATATGGCTACTTCTTACTTACTTCTTTAAACTCACTCAGGTTTTTTACTTCAAGTTGTTACCGATTGTTGAATGTATTTAAGTACTCACTGCTGTAGTACAATCTACCTGTGCCCTCACATTTTTCCCTTAAGAAATAAGCAAACGAGAAAAAAAAACAACAAACATTACTTATTATTTTGCAGTCGTTTAGGAAGGACTAAATGAATTCAACTGTTTTCATAGGATAATAAATGCTTATTTCTACACTCTTCCTTGTTTCCATGGATTCCAGTGCTGATCCACAAGGCAATGAGACTTCAATTTTTATATTGGTGGTAAATCAACTGCGCTGCAGTAGTCTAAAGTAAATATCATTCCCTTCATAATTTCCTGAACATTAAAAAGATAGCTTTTTTTTTTTTTTTTTCAGTTAAGAACTCAAGTCAAGAAGGTAAATTGAATCTTGAATTTGAGTAACAAATTTCTGAATTTGTAAGCATCCTGGTGTTTAAGACGTCTGCCACTCACTTCCTCCTTTCCAGAGTGTTATTGCAAAAGGAGTAATGAGGAGATTATTTCAAGTAAGCCTATAGAAATATGATAAGCTTGTCTTCTAGATTGAGTGTAAGGTTTCCTTGAACAGTGAAATTCTGTCTTAATTTCCATTTTTCTAGAAGAATTACGTAAAGGAAAACCCATAACTGTTTTGATAAAGTCATAGTTAAAGAAAAAGTTGTTAGATCTTAAACTACAAATATTCTTAGATGAAGGGCTGAAAGACTATGAAATAGTGGTTGTGTTTGAACAAGTACACAGGGCTGGGCTCAGATGGGTTATACAGTTATAGAGAGGTTTCAAGTCCTTGATGAATTGGTTGGTTTTAGAGCAGCAACCTGATAACATGTGGTAGAATACACTGATATCAATGTATGACTTAGTTCTGCTAATTTAGGACACAGGCATCATCAGAGGATGTATGACATCATTTTTTATTCTGCATCTTTTGCATCCAAGAGGTTTTTTACCTCTTGTTTTCTGACTTAATGAGATGGGTGTCTAGATAATAAGTCTTCTCCTTTGCTATGGAATCTTTGCCAACATGCGGTGCAGCGTCCTGCCTGGGCACTGAGTGAGGCAAAGAAGAAAGACTTTCAGTAGTAGCAGCATCCAAATTTATACGCACTAAAGGGAGAGTATAGTTAAATTTGATGGGTAAACTTCTCCTACTGCTTTGTTCTGCAAGTCTTACTTGTAGAGTGTATTTTTATTTCCAAGTATGATTTTTGTGGTGCAGTTTCATGGTAAAGATCTGCGTATGGTCACTTACATACAGGAATTTCTACCTAAATGCTAATGCAAGTTCACAAATTCCACTTAGATTCACTTCCTTGTAGAGATGTGTCCTCTTTTCAAGTGAAGTGCTGCATTTTTTACCTTCAAATTTACCATTGCGTAAATTTACCATTGGGATTAATCTGGTTATTTACTCGATAATGGAAATAAGACAAAGGGGAAATGTTTTTCACACTGAGCAGGCACCATGTTCTTCTGGTATGAGCGTTCTTTTCCTTTGTTTTTGAAACAGTCTTTTGATTTCTTAGGCTTTCCTTTCATGACATTTAGGAGGAAAGGAGGAAAGGAAACTGCTGTTGAATATGAGATGCCTGGGATTTCTGTTTTATTATACTTTTTAAATATTTGAACTCTGCTTCAGGACGGAACAAATTAGAGTTGAAACTGCAGGGTGGGTAAGTAGTTTCAAGGCTTCTTTATTTGATTTTCAAAAGTTCGTATTTACTCTCCTCCATTTTAATGTGAAGTACCTTTCTGCTGAGTCTAAACAGCCTTTTTATTGGTGATTTCTAATGAGCAGTTACCTGCACAGCAACTGATAATCTTCATTACGAAGTCTTTCAAAAAAAAAAAAAAAAAGACAAAAAAAAGCCAGCTACTAACAAAAATTCTTTTCCTCTGCTGTGTACCTTGAAAGACTTATGAAAACTTTCTTCACGCACTGCTTTATTTTTTTTATTTGCTCTATTTCACAATGCAGTTTGTATCTTCATTTCAGCTTAAACGCCCCCTTAACACAGCATCTTCTCTCCTCCTCGATAAGAAGCAAGCCTAGTGGTAGATCTGTATGTTGCATTTTATTCAGTGGAACATTGGCATTGCAGGCAGGTACCTCCCCTCAGTCCCAGCTCAGCTCCACTACAAACTCGTGCCCAGTTCATATACTTGCAACAAAATGATGTATAATCTCCTCGGAATTGTATTGGTCGTATTTGCTGTACAATGGAAACAAACTTGAGAGATTCACAGGTTCACTAGAAAGGCAACTGATATGAAACTCATTTCCTAATATATTTTATCTATGCCAGCAATGCGATGGTTCTTATGGACAATGAACAATAAAGCTAGTCAAAAAGATCATTAAGTAACTCCCATGAAGTTATAATAATGCATTAAAACATGTACCCTCTACAGTGCACCTTGCATCACAAAGCCCCTTAATTCATCTGCTCTTAGGCAACAAGCAGATCAGTGACCATAAATCTACTAGCTATGCTCCAGCACTGTATTTTCTCCTTTGCTCAGAGCTTCTGGGCTACTGTGAAGAGAAAACCAAAATCTTGCAATAAGCTATCGTGAATTGCAAGTGTTTAAAGCTAGGAAAATTACTTTGAACAAGGCAGATAGAAGTTCTGATTTTAAACTTCCATATTAAAGTCGTAATATCTGCATTTTTGTACATAGCTTTGAAAATCCCCACTGTGGAATCATGCACTATCAAGGGTCATTTTAATAACATTGATTGTTAAAAGACACAGTTCCCAGTGTAAAACAAGAACTCATCAGAATTCAGGATAAAGCTGATTACAGAGGAATGCCTAAAATTGAATATTAAGAAGATTAAGAAGAGCTGGGTATCAGTGCTATATTCCGAAGGGAAATCCATGATGTGCTCACTGTCCCAATCAGCGGTACCCAAAGGCAATGAGTACCTCTGTGAGTGTACCCTACTGGAGAGGCAACTCTGAGAGTTTGGCCAAGGGTAACTATAAATATTAAAACCTTTATTATCAATGTTTGATAGAAACATAAAAAATTTATAGTTGTATACAAATTCTTTCTTTCACAGAGGAGACACATGAGATTTTATAAAACCCCTGTTAAGTCACTCTTTCATTTTTTTCTTTCAGACAGGACCTAATTATTTCTGCCCAAATTCCTTTCTTCAATAGAGGTAGTATCATCTGAAAAAAGCAAAATAGAATGAATAGCTGAAGCCCTATATAGAGCTAATAGTCCTGTATCAAGGTTGTTCAGATAGGCTGCTTTGTTATGTTTTGTTTCTTTTTCTTCCTTTTTTTTTTTTTTAATTTCCAGTCCCCTAGCCCCTCTGCCTCCTTTTGTTATTCAGTATGTGTTTGTCACAGACTGTCTCTTGTTTAGAAACAAATGCATTCAGACATCTTTGGTACTTACAAAAGCATAGTCTCATATTACGGCAATCATTAACATAACAGTAACACACAAGAGTTGTTCCAGCATATTGAAAAACCTGTGAAGCTTTCAGTGCACTCAGTGACTGTATGAGATAGCAATGAAAGGCAAATATCTACCTAAATGTGAATTTCCACCTCACTGTAACATCTAAATGGAATTACATCCCGCGTTGTTGAGAAGATTCATTAAAGGGACATAGAATCTTCAGACTGAGTACCGTCTTGTTTTGTAGTGGGAAGCTATGTGGGATACTGCAACCTTTACATATTTAAAATATCATTATTGTAATGTAGAGTGAATCAGCCCTGTGCTATTTATGTTTATGGTGTAATAAATACAGTGTGCCAAGAAACTATATTGGAAGAGGCTGTAGTAAGGGAAAGCAGATCTTTATTAATTGCGCTAGTAGCATTAGAGGAACTCGTTTTATAGTTCTCTGTGTAGTACACAAGAAATCAGGAAATATAAGATCTCCACATTTTACTACAGCTTTCTACCTTCTCAGTTGATATTTTTGAAGAGACCAAATAGCACTTAACAAGACCCTTTTTTCCCTTCCTAGCATCATCTCCAGTAAGGTCCCTACTCAGCCGACTCTCTCTGTGGCACTCAGCAACATATAATCAATAATGATCTTTTCAGTTGGTTGTGTGCCCTATGCAAGTCTATTAATGTTGATGCAAAAGCATTTGAGGTATATTTTAAATGGCTATCTTCTATTTCTGTGTTCTTAGGTGTCCTGCTCTCCCATATAATTTGTACTACCGTGCTGCTGTAGCCCAATGATAGCTAGCAGACCTGTAGAAAATAAATGAATTGTTTAACTTGTCAAACAAACTAGGCTTTCATGGCCAGCATGATGTGTATATGTAACTGTATAAAACTGTGGATTTGTCTGTATTTTGAGCAAAAATGCACTAACTCACCACAGATATGGAATTAGAAATAGCAGTTTGTTCACAAAGGCACTACTATTGCACTAAGTTATAATGTTCAGTTGTATTGCTGTAAGTTCATTTTATTTTGAATAATAAATGCCACAAATATCAACACTGTGAATATCTCCAATTTCTGTTGCATAAGTCACTCTATCTTTGAGTACACAAAGACTGTAATACGCTTTGCTGCAACTAAGACAAAGTACCCTATTGCAAAGAATTTCAGTAAATGCCCATGGACCCCCTGAGCTGTAAGTGAATGTTTTTGAATAACACCAGTAATCTAAAGGTAATTAAAGTAGTTTATGCAAGAAGCAATAAACAGCTATTGTTGTCTCTACAGAACATCATGCTTTTTGCAGATAATGTTTTTTTAGCCTTCTTGTTGGTTAGAAAAAAATAAAATCAGGGACTGCTAGTCTGAAGGAAACAAGGACAAGATAATAACTAGAGATGCAAATAGTGCCTGTGCTTTGGAATAGTACAAATTGTTACAACAATCACAGAGAAAGCTGTACAGAGGTTATAAGATGGCAAGTTAATGCAATGCTTAAAAGAATTAGAGTGTTGGAAAGACCTAAATTACAAGAGCAAAGAAATGAAAATACAACTTAATAAGAAACAAATGCTGCATGCTGTGTATTAACAGTGGAACGCTTGCAGAAAATATAGAAAGTCTTTGTTTACTCAAGCCTGAATCATGGGCAAAGGTTTACATAAACTGCTTCTTTCCTGATCACAAGTATGGGGAGTCCTGTGGGACTGTATAGTCAATAGGGCTTTTCAGTCACGTGCAATGACTTGCTTCATGTTTGGATTCAGACATTTGAGTAAAACTTGTTCCTGTCATTGTCAGCAAAAAGCACCCATTTTATTACTGGGGCCAGAGTCCTGCTAATGTACCAGGCACCTCTGTTGGTGCTGCTGGTTTCAGTAGTCCTGAAGACAGGATCCGTCTCAGGACCTCAGCCCTTGCTCCTGTACGTCAGCACGTGGCTGTGTCTCTCTCCAAGCAGTTTCTTGTGCTCTCTTTCACATACTGAAAGGAATGAGCTTTTGTCTTGTGTGCAAAGGATGATACAGGGCGGCAATAAAACCTCTTTAATGAGCACAGAGCAGATTCTGCTTTCAGTAATGCCATTTTACCTTCACTGGGGTTGAAGTCGTTTTGCCTCTTTTATCAGGACTCCACCTTAAGTCTTCATCTTTTCCAGAAATCCAGTCTTTGGTAAGATAGGTGACACGACCTATCATACTTTAACCTTTATAACAGAAGGGTTATATAGAGAGGGATGTTAGAGTGGGAGAGGAAAAGGCACCAATAAAGTACCGAGGCAGGTGATGTAAGCCCTTACTGAAGTCTGTGGTAGTTTAATGAAAGTAACTCAGACAAAATAAATGTTTCACACAGAACCAAGATATGGCTGACCCAGTCTCAATGTCTGCATCATTAAAATAACCTTCTCAATGGGAAGGCAGAGAATTACATACTTTCTTTCTGCCCTACAAGAAAAAAAAAAAAGGCAATTAGAAATGTCTAATGTTGGTTTAAAAAAAAAAAAAAAAAAAAGCATGGTAAATACTTGATGGATTGAATTCATTCCCCTTCTTGTGTGCTGACATCCAACACACTGCACAGGGAGATTCTACAGAAACGCTGCACAGGATGGGATGTTTCTTTATGGCATTTCCGTGTGCTTTAAATCTCTGAAGAGTTTTCTGTGTGTGTTTTATATTGAGTCATTAAGTACAAAAACAAACTTATTCACAAACCAACTTTGATCTAAGTTTCCTGCAATTTATCTTTGCTGTCTATAGCATGCACTGAAACCCTACCTGATTGTTATTAGCTCCCCAAATATTTATATCATTTCAGGTAATCAATGCTTATCGCAGTTAATACAGATGTTACAATTTCCTCAAAGAAAGGCACAGTCAGCATAATAACATTTTAATTATTGCAGCATATGTTTTTAAATAGGCCTTTTGTTTACAGTATCAATTAAACGGAGTAGCTGTATGTATCTGATTAATAGATGGTGTTAAAAATATTGTACATGTAAATTACAGCTTTTCACGCTAAATATATATGAAGCAATAAGGCAGTGTCTTGGAGGTATTAATGTTCACTTAATTTAAATCATGTTGCTAGTGCTGTTTTCTGTTCCCATTCCCTCATGTTTGTGCTCTCTACAGGATGTTTTTCATTCAACTGCTGTGTAAAACAAATTTGCTTGTGGGGGTTTGGTGATATAAACCATCTGACTGGCACCAGTACATTAGTTATTCTACGTATAACTGAAAACACAAATGTAATATTTGGAAAAGTAGAGATAGCAGCATCTACTGGTTAGAAAGACATGTTTTTCATTATGGAGTATGGTGGAAGTTCAGTAGAGAACATGCTGAGCCCCTCTGTCCCTCATCTTCCTGGCATCTTTATGGAGTCTTTTACTCCTTGCATCTTTTTGAAGCTATCTAAAGAGAATGAAGTATTTCTTTAAAATATATATAAATAAAATTAAAATATGAATGAACTGCTGTTTTCTCCACTGCATTAAAGAGGGAATTTTTTTCTCTTTTTTTTCTTTTTCATGTACATTTATACTACAATCCCTAGTGGCAGTACACCATCACCTTAACCAGAAGGGATCAATCTTTCATCAGGAAGACCAATTAGTGCGGTGATTTTCTGTACCTTAACTTCCTCAAATCTCTGCAGTTTGAAATCTGCTTCACCTGGAATCTAAAAGTTGCAGCTGTAAGATACCTTTTGTCACAGATTTTTTTCTGTGAGTATCTGAGAGAAACCGTCTTAAAGGATCTTTGGAGAAACTTTTCATTAAGGATGTAACAAGCATACCTTGCTAGTTCAGGGATAGGTTTCTCCCATGATATTTTTTAATATCTTTTTTTATCTGATATTTGATAGCCTATAGGTTTAAAAAACAAAAACACACAAGCAGTGAGTAGTATTTCCCGTGTACAAAGACTATTGACCATAAAAATGCTTTGTAGTCAGGAGGAAGATGGCTCAAACAAGAAATGCTCTTACCATAAGGTTTCACAAGGATCTAGATATTGGCCTCTCCATGTATTTCAGCGTTTTTATGTTGACGGGAATACAAGAATTGATGTATTTACCTGTTTTAGTAGTCTGACCTTTGATGGCAACCTCATTTTGAGCTGTAGTACAAGTCTTATGTGCGTGTCTCACTATAAGCTACTGTGGAACACAGGAGGGTGATGCCAGACATCTCTAGTTTAACCTTCTAAACTCCTCAATATAATATGTTAATGTATGTACATGCTTATATTCTTGGTGCTTCCAACTCAGCATTCTTACGATGTTCAAGTTTTTTCTTGCAATTTCCTGCTTTCTGGAGTTAGTGGATTAATTAGAAGCCTACAACATCCTGAGTGGAATGGGAATACAAGATCATTGAGCCCAGCTTCTTGCTTCACACAGGACTGTCCAAACTCTGCCTGAGAGCACTGTCCACATGATCCTGGAACTGCTGGGCAGCCTGTTCCGTGCTCGCTGCCCTCTGGGGCAGAATCTTTCCCTGTCACTCCTGACACATCTCTGCTCCATTTCCCTCAGGCTGCTCTCACACAGAGCTCAGCGCTGCCCCTCCGCTTCCTGTGAGGCCATCAGGCCTCCCCTCAGCTCCTCTGCTCTGTGCTGACCAAACCCAGGGGCCTCAGCTGCAACTTGTAGGTCTTGTCCTCCAGGCCCTTCACCATCTTTGTAGCTCTCCTTTGGCTGTTCTCTAATAGTTTTATGTCTTTTCTCATGCTGTGGTTCCCAAACTCCACTGTTTGGGGTGAGGCTGTATGGTAGGACAGCCCCTCCCCTGTCCAGGTGGTGGTGCTGGGCCTGGTGCTCCCAGGGGATGCTTAGTGCTTTGGCCACCAGGGTACACTGCTGGCTCAGGTCCAACGTGCTGTCAGCCGGAACTCCTACATCTTTCTGCGGGGCTGCTCTCCAACCTCTTGTCCCTCTGTCTGTCTGTACATGTATCTAGGGTTGCTCTATTCCATGTGCAGAATCCAGCATTCAAAACCTTCAGCTTTGTTTAAAATGCACTAAGTCTGAATCTCCCAGTTCAGATTCAAAACCTGTATAATGTTATCTGAGTACTTAGGAGAGAATAAGTTGCTCAAATGTGTATTTGGAAGCATATAATTTTTCTGGATGTGTCTTTTATCACTATTTCTTGTCATGCATCATACAGAGTGGTCAATTTACAAGTAGCTCCACATAAACATTATATGATTCTTTATTTCTAGTTACATAATCTGGCAGAAGTGTGTCTCAGAAATATTCTAGGAAACACATATAATCTTTGTTGCTTTTTAGATCTTAATGAAGAGGTTGAATTAGAGATTTTTATCTTTTTGAATGATTCTTTTTCCTACTGGCTTGTTTTATACTGGATCTAGTCAGAAGCACTTTTTTGCTTGTATATAGTTTGACTTTACACGTTCAAAGTGATGTATTGAGCTTGTTCAATTGCTTTCAAGATCATTGATTACTATCATACGGCTGTTTAAAGATCAAAAGTAAATAGAAGGCTAATGTGAAGGCAACTTTGTTTCGGATTGAGTATGAACTCTTATTTCTACAAAATAGTTGAAATAATCTTTTCATGATTAATTTGATTAATTCTTTATAACGAGTCTGTTGGAAGTTTTGGCAAACATCATTACTTGTGCTGTGCGAATAACCATCCTATACATATACAAGGTGTACAAATCCAGTGCATTGGCTTCATATTCACTTCCTGGATGTATCCATGAGATTAAAACACTAGCTGTTGGCTTGGAAATGTAAATATATAAATGAAGTTGGAAAGAGCATAGAGACAGTAACACAAATTTCATTTCTAAGGTTGAGGAAATAGTAATAGGAAATAATTTTGATACTCTTCCTGAATTGATTTCTACTTGATATATACCTTCGCACAATTAAAAACATAGTGAAAGAGTTTTCGCTCTGATAATTGTGTTTGTAGTAGAGACTCTTATTCTACTGCACAGGCTTATGCATGTGTATCCTCAGTGAGTTCATCTGCTGCACTGATCTCACTGAACAATAACTTTAGGGGATTCATCCACTGAACTTGTATGTACTGGAAAGGCAGAGGATTAATAGTTGATCCACTGTTTTCTTTCAGCATAGATTGGTTCTCTTCAAGTAAAGTTTCAGGTCACTTCTAGGGCATCATTTCAGGTAAATGAGCACTCATTTTATTAGCCTCTCTGGCAGATAAGAAGGTTTCAGTTTTAATGAATGCAAGATCAAATATTTGACAGAAAGTGAAAAGCAAAGACCGGAGGTATATATCCTAAAGTGAGAGAGGGAGGAGAATAATGAGTTTGAAAAGAATAAAACGCAGATTGACTACTGGAAAAGAATGCTACAAAGGTCTCCACATGAATCTTTGGTTCCGTGAGTTTGCCAATTCTTTTTATTGCTATTTCAAGTAGCCAGGTACATATGGCATGTTTGTAAGTAAAGCAGTCAATGAAGTTAGTTACACCTCTGCATTTATTACCTTACCCCTGAGTATTATTAACTTTTACATTCCCCATAAAATATAATTTATCACTTAAATAATTTGCTTTGTGTCAGGGTTCAGTGTGCTCCAGTGCTTTCCTGCTCATTAAATGAGATATTTTTACTTAATGAGCCCAGAATGTCCTTTGCATTTAACATTAGAATTGATTTCAAACACTCCATTTTTTATAACATATTTGTGTGTAATTTCAGAATGTGGACTTCATCCCATAGTCTTACACTGAAGAAAAAAGAATTACAAAGAATAATGATCCATGGATTCTAGAGAGGGACATGGTAAGTATGGATGAATAGTTAAAAAAAAAAAAGAAAGAAAGAAAGAAAGCAATGCCTATTATCTGCTTTCACTTTACATTCTTGGTACAGTTTGATTTTAAAGTTTGCTGCAGTTACTGTACACAAAACTCTTTCAGAGAAGTGTTTTTTCAAAGTACTGCAAGATACTTATTGCCAGGAATATAAAAATAGTCCTATTCTTTTGTGATGCACTCACTAACAGGTACTCATTCAAAGATACACCATTTACATATAAATATGTATCTATAGGACAGATACAGCAGCACATTAGTAATGTCCCTGGTCTGATGACTCGGATGCTCATGATCCATGACAGTGAGTGTGACAAGAAACAGTAAAGGATAGTAAAACTGAAGTTTAATCACGTAAAAATCCTAACATTGTAACATAGGTATTTTTTGTTCTCAGTGAAAAATAGGGAAAGAAAACACTTTGGGGAATAAGCAGAAATAAAACATTGTTATATTTAACTGAAATTACAACTTTCATTTTCATTAAGACTGTTCTTAACCATAATTAAGCCTCACATATATATTTTTCCATAGTTGTATATTCTCTTCCCTGACTAACAGCTTGGGTCTCTCACTCTGTTTCCCTGGACCAGGTTTCTTTACTGAACTTTTTTCTTGTAGGGTATATGCAATTGTCCAGCTGCTGTGAGTCAGCTTGGTGTGGTGGAAGCTTATGATGTGAGATGTGCAGTGGTTACCATAGCATATAGCAAATGAAGGTGTGCAAGCATGAGGGAGCTAACACGACCCCTAACAGCAGGTAAGTGATTTGTGTCTGGGTATTGCTGATCAGTACCTTCTTTGACATGCTATCATGTTTGCCAGGGAAATCTCCAAATTCTTATTAGGCTGATAATTATTGGCAAAAAGGACTTCATAAGAACAAAATATTTTGTGAGACTGTATCTTGATTTACAAGTTAAAGAAAAGAAGAACAGATCTTTAAATGTGATAGTAACAGGAATAGCATAGTAGTGTAATTATCCATAAAGGTGTACAAAATATGAAATCTCTGTTTGACGTGTTGTGTGAGAAAAACAATCAGAAAATCTAGAATCAAGTCTTGATTATAATTTAGTGAAGCGTGAACGTGCCCAGGTTACTTATTAACACTTTCTCATAATTGAGCAAGCTATTAAGTGACATGCAGCTCTGATACAGAGGGGGGAAGCAGTGTTGTCAGATGGGTGATATATAAGGCAGCCTATGCTCTTCTTCTGGTGATACCAGTAGTGACTAAAGCATCCCCACAGGAAATCACTCTATTTTGCTTTTCTTACTGTCCTTTGTCCATTTTATCTGTTAAAGCTGAAGATAGTTAAGGTTGGTGCATTTGAACCTATAACCTGAATTAAGAATGCTCTTTTTATTTTTCATATTTTTTTTCACTGTAAAATGATAGAAAAGGAAGAGTTGTGTATGTGTGTTTTTCCAAAATGCGGTGCTACAGTTAGTTCCAGGGAAATACTGAAACATCATTTCAGATACTTAATGAAGCCTACATTGTAGTGTACCGTATACATTGTAGTGTGTTTATATGGACTGATGAGATCTCAAAAGACATAAGGTATTTTTATTAAAGAATGAGAAAGAAAAAAAGTGCTCATTTCATTGCAGTTTTAAAGAGGGATGCAGAGATGTTAAATTTTACTTGAATTCTTTTAAAAAATGATAATTATTGTTGCCTGCTATTTTTCAAGTTCTAATGCCAAATATTGGAACTTTTAAGAAGAAAAATAGGTGATTTAAGCAAAATATCTAACTGAAATCAAAATCCCTTACATAATGAATCATATTCTCTCAGGATGAATAATGATTTGGTTGCTAAAGAAGAAAACGGATGAGGATGTCTCAGTGTCCACAGAGCGGAATGCATGATGGCTTCACCTACTTGAGAAGTTGCTATCCTGGGCTGGCAACACTTCTGTGAGGTAAGTTTCCTGTGTCGTTGAGTTAGAGTCATGACTCTGGGACCAGCAGTTACTGTAACATGGCCTCTTTATTCCCCTTTAGCCTGCACCAGTTTTACTGAAAATGATATTTTTAAGAAAATGCAGGGATCTTTCACAAGGGTTGCCCTTTCTGTTCTTATGACTAACCGGGGGTTTCTGTCTTATTGCTGTGTGTACAGCTGCATGTGGTATAGATAATTTTTCCCACCGTGGAACTGCCAATACTGGCTTTTAATTGCTGTAATTGTTTCTGTCATAGTGGTTGGACAGTGTGAGTTTAAGATTAGGGAAAGGTACAGTTCTCAGTGGAAAGTCGCTGTCAGACCAAGCAAAAGCTGCAACTTACTGCTAGTCACCCATATGATGTTTTGGGAATCTGTGGTCATTGTCCCGTATAAAAATGGACTTACAAGTGCTCTTTGGCCTAACTGGAGGACCTTTATACAGGGTTCTCACAGGAAAGTGGAGAGTGCACCAACCTAGGCTAATACCCTGATATTCCTCTGTTATTTGTAGTCCTAGTCTGAGAGCAGAAATGGTTAAAGGATGGGTAGACATCATATAGAAATGTGTCCTCTAATCTGTATGCAGTGCAGTGTCTCAAAGGCTCCAGAATATGCCTGTGCAGGCAACAAATTTTACTTACATTTGTATTTGTTTTGTAAATTAACCATTCTTAGTTAAGAAATAATTATGAAGTTTCAGGAGGCAGTAAGATAAAGATGCTTATCAGATTCCTATTGGGAATGGCAGTAAGTAGTTTATAGACAGTTTCAGTTAACATAAGCTTTCCATAAATAAGATATATAACTTTTCACAGATGTAGACTGAGGCCAAAGGCTCCCTTCACTCTTGGAGAGCACTGACATTAAATTTTTTATTAGTACCCATGATGAATAATGCACTTGACTTCAGTTTTGACTGTAGCATTGAGAGAAACCACCACACATTTCTTCATAAATAGTCAAGCTTAACACTGGAGAAAAAAAAGTTTTTAAAATTAATTAGTTTTTTTCTGAGTTGCTTCCCTCTTGATGTGTGGACTTCCAGCTCTGGTATCTCTGTTGCTGCCATTTTTTTGTCTACTCGTGACTTTCACTTCTTCACATCCTGAGGCTTTGTGCTAGATTTCTACAAAAGGATCTTGTGTTGTCATTTACTTTGCTCGTACTGTGTATGCTTGCCAGCACACACAGTCTCTTGCAGCAAATTGTAAATGGCAATTCTTAAATCTTCTACATGCTAGGGGTCTTTTTCGTTCACATTACGTGCCTCTATGCATGAGTTCATTTGTAGAATTTGTGCACTCTCCTGTTTTTATAGTCCAGAATTTTACACTTTGCTAAGAGTTTTGTAGTACTTTGACTAGCTATTGTAATGTTTTCTTTTCAGTGTTCCTATATTGCTAGAGTAAGTTCCCTTTGCAGAATTCTAGGCTTTGTTTTAGATCTTTCACAGCCTCTTTCTGGGTATTTTGTACCGAATCCCAGACACGATCTAACTTTCTACCAGAATGTTAACACTTCCCTCTCTATTGTGAGATCAGTGTAGTTCAGCCTGAGTTCAATTATGGATACCTTTATGTTTTCTCTGCCGTTATTGCTTACTTGAAATGGAATTCTTGCAATTGGGAGTGTATTGCATGTAGGCAGATTGAAATCTCTTTCTAACTACTGCAAGTCTTAAATGATCTTGTTAGTAGATCTCATTAGTAGATCTTTGCTGAAAGCTGTGAGTAATGTGGGGCAGACATTCTCATTGTCCCATGGTCCTGAGAAGCTGAACTGCAGTGAGAAATGCTAACCAGCTTTTAAATTTGAATTTTCTGAGTTATGATATGAAAATTGTCGTTTAATTGCAGAAAAAGACTCTATGAAGGGAACTGGCCATGATGTTCATGTCTTAGAACTTCGCCAGTCTGCAACTGTTTCCTTCCCTTACATGTTACGTGCACAATGCCCCCACGAGGAAAAGGCGTGTGACTCTTGCTAGGTACTGTAGTGTATTAATGCTATTGGATCACTCATATTTTATTCATTAAATAATATCTGTCAATGTGTTTTTCTGTTTTAAACTGTTACTGTAAAAGAGAGCATTATCACCTCCAAGCATTTGATTCTTAGAGCGAATGCCAATACTATCCAGTCATGCCACGATCTCCTAATTATGCTGAAGGTTTCTTTCTTAACAATGTTTATTTTAGGATGTCAACAATACTTCAGTTAAATGTAGTGTAAAGTGCACTTATTTAGCAAACGTGTCCTTCAGAAAAGGTTTTTTTGTCTTTAAAATGCAACTAGATTGTTTCTTTCTGTCACTGCAGGATACAGTAGAAATCTTAAATCAATAACACTTTATATTCCTACACAACTGATGCATAACTTCCTTCTTCACACAGAGGTTTAATGTGTTGTAAATTAATTATCTGGAATGAGTACATGGCCAATGGACCTTGGTATGACCGGGATGTAATGTTAAAGTGTTCCATTTCCTACTAGCACTTCTCGGCTCTCTTGTTGAGTTTTTATACGTGTCAGTTATTCCATCTTCTACAGTTTGTTCCTTTAAGTGTTGTTAATGCCCCTCTAGGGCTTGATCGATAGGGAAAATTTGCTTTACCATAAATTTGTCCAACAAATTTCTTCTTGAGGTAAAGTACCCTTATAAGTTGTAGTTGTGCAATGCTTCTAAGTAAACTATTCCTACTCTTACAGAAACTTAAAATCATAGCCTTTATATCATAAAGAAATTACAAAGAGTTTGAATGAGCAAATGCAGACCAAATTTTTGGCTTTTAGATACCTAAAAATAAATCATCTATGCTTGAAGTTTCCAGCAGGAGAAGTTTTGCTTTACTGCTTCTATGCAGCAAACTGCAGAGCTGAATTAAACTGATATTTTCTCTTGAAAAATGCTGAGAGAGATTCACAACCATGAACAGTGCAATTAAAACAGGCGTTCACTAGGTTTAAAGTAGTCAATTTCCTTTAAAAATCAGAGAGGCCACCTCTGTTTTTTTTTTGATGCCAGCTTGGCTATTAGTTGCTAGGGTAACAAGATCCAAGGTAGAGAATAAGGCCTGTGCATGCAGCGCAGAAGTATGTGGCTCTAAGATAAGAAAGAAATGATGGTAGGAACATTCAGTTATAGATTGTTGCCATTTATTTATTTGTTTTATTTATTTATTTATTTTTTACAGTTAGAAGGGTGGTCAAAATGATTACCTGTTCATAACTAAAAAGGTGCTGATACCACAGCATTTTGTCATCTCTGAGTAACAAATGACACTAAATTATTTAAGCAGAAAACATGTCTAATCTCTCTGAAAAAAAAGAAAAAGAGATGCTACTTAAAACTCATGGCATGGTGTTGGGATCAATTTATCGTACTGTGCTGTGTCAATGTCACTTTCATAAACTTTTGCTGAAGTGCTTTTCCTACCGTATGTTGAATGATGTTGTCAGGACTGTGAGTCGGGGGTATGGTGGATTCAAGTCTACTTTACTTCCCTTGATGAAAAGGTCACTGCCACTTGTAAATCTGTTTTACTCCCTGCACAGTTGTTAGTGTCAAAGTGTCAGCTCGGTGGGATGTTAAAGTTATACAAGTTGGTAGGAACAATGATCACAAATTCCCAGGTGGTATGTCCCAAGAAAAAGTCTCTCATCTCTGTGAAAAAGTTCTGTGTAAAGTTTTTCATGCAGGATTGCCCGCTCACTTTTTTTTTTTATTGATTGCAGAAATAAAAAACGTTTCTGTTTGATGTCTGCCATCTGGTAGGCCTTCCCCCTGATGATAGCTCATCACAGGGCCAATTATTATGTCTGTAGCCCACATTTGCAAGTGAAACAAACTCCTCTGCTTTATGTTTTTAAGGCTATGAGGACTCCAATTAGAATACAATTAAATCTTTGCCTGTGCTGCATTATGTGATTATGTTATGACAAACCATCATAATTGAGCAGTACCGTAAGTCCTCACAGTTGTTCATAAATTATTTAGGAAATAAAGAAATAAGGCAACTCACCAAAAGGGATGTGGGGGAAGGAAGAATGCCATCCCCCTGCAAACCAAGCTTCCAACCAATACAAGCAATACAAATGGTAAAATCCTCAATAACAGAACTCTTTTTTTTCCCCCAGCTGGGATCATATGAACTGTTTTGTCTGTAGATAAGGGAAGGTTGTTATTCAAGATTTTCTAGTACAAATTGTTGTAGTTTACTAGTGAACTGCACTAGGAAACACAGTGAGAAAAAAAACAGCTGGAGTGGCAGCAGAGACTGTGTCCTGAGTTTGACTGATTGCACTGACTGTACAGGAGATGGACATGAAGTTCTTTGCATGTGAAGTATGGCCAGAGCTTTTAGGTGGTCAATTGCCTACTTATCCAAAGACCTCCACAAAGACAGAGACTTAAGTTTTTTGTGCTGTGAGGTATTTCCATATGACCTTGCAACTAAATTGATTTTTGATCTGAATGGAGTAGTTTGCTGCTGAGGAGACAGAACAGGACCTGAAGGGGGCAAACACTGAATCTTTTTGGCTTGACTTTCAGTCAAGGTAACTCACTGGGGTCCTGAAGGTGATGCAAGTAAACACCTGCCAAGTGAATCTTTGTGTCAAGGCAGCCATTGTGGGCCAACTGGGGTAGGCAGCTGTGGGTGCACGTATATCAGTGTGCCAAGGAACCATCAGTACAAGAGGGAAGAGGGCACGCCAAGATCCTGGTTTCATTTCTCCTCATTTTTGACTAGAAAATGCTCTTAATCCATTCCGGGATTTGACTTAGAAGCTGCCTCATGCATTCATTTCAATTATATGAAAACAGAATCTTTGATATGAAAGTTGTTGTTTTTTTTTTACTGTCTGCTAAGAAAACACCAAAAAAAAAAGCAAACACAAAAACCCAAAGTTTTAATTGCTCTGAGGAAAAAGAAAAATCACTTCCATCTCTATTAATCACTTGTTTTTATAGAT